AATGTGCGCTAGATAGCAGTACTTGTATATGAAGAACATAAGATGAAAAGATATGAGATGGCGAAGTCTTTAATTGATTGACAGACGTACAGACAAATAAGCAGACGCACAGACAGACATACAAAGAGACAGACAGATGAACGGGCAGACAGACATACAAACAGACTCACAGACAGAGAGATGGAGGGATGGATGGACGGGCGTACAGATGAATCAATGGACGCACGAACGAAAGCATGTACGGACGGACAGAAGGTATCTCAACGATTGTAAGTTCGAGAAATCTTTAAAATTATAATTTTTAGATATGTGCACAAGATCTTGAACGGGAAAACAAGATTAGCACATTTATTGGTATTCAGGTTCAACATCAAACTTTCAGACAGTGTTCGAGCTCAATTAAGTATTTTAGTAAGGTATTGTAAAGACAGTGGATGCCAATTTCCATCGCAAAGAAAGCACTGTTGTCGGCATAAACTTGAGTTTTCACATCTAGACGAATGGGGATGGTAATAACCAATATGGTAAATAGTGTGGTGGAAAGTGCTCACCTCTGAGGTACCCCTAGGGTATGAGAATGCAATTTTTTAAAACTTCCTACGTGGTCTTAATGGAACACAAGAATAACATGTGTGCCTTTTCTAATGGGTGACAAGCTGTAAACCACGACGTCTTTATAATAATCACATGTTCTGACGCCTGAGAGCAATGTACGCTTGTGCCACGCAATATTACTGCGGCATGGCATGTAGTTTGAAGCCATGAACGTTATTTTCACTGCATTGCAGACACGACAGACAGACAGACATATTAGGTTTATTTGTGTCCAGAAAAGGAGGTTTCTAAGTAGTTAGGACCCATCGACGGCAGAACCCGCAATGGGGTAGGGCACTAGAGTTTTCCGATCGCTTCACAGGCTCCCTGACCACCCGGAGCTGTTTCGCAAGAAGTGGACAGGCGATGCATTCTATGGAGTTGGTGTTTTTGACGCGATGCTTCCTTGCAGAAACTCGCAGGCCGGGGCAGCGCCTCATCAAATGAGGCAAAGTGGCGAGTTGATCACATGTCGAGAAGTTAGGCTGTGTGCCCGTATACAGGGCCATAGTGGCTAACGATGGCAAGGAGCTAGTTGGGAAGAGTGCGGGCTGTCTGCTGCCTCCTAGTTAGCTCTCTGTATGGATCCGGAAAGGAATGGGATAGAAAAGAAAGGAAATAAGGGTGGGACTCCTGTAGTAAAGGGCTCCACTGGCCTCAGCACCCGCCACGCCTGGTACAAAAGCGCCGCTTGCGCCTCGTTTTTCTTTCCGGCGATCAATCTGAGCGTATTATTTTGGCTTGCCTTAATGTGAGCGAGCGCTAGCTGTCCTTTATACCACAGTTGAAAACCGGCGTTTGCGGTTGGGTGCATCGCTTGTTTCGAAACGCAGGCACAGATATGTATTTGTCTATAGGCAGCGCCAATCATGCGCTTATTTTACACTCAACCGAGAATGGGGCAGGGAGTATCGCCATCCTTGTCGACGCTGGTTTTCTAAGATATCGTCCTGCCTACTCTGTAGTACAAACATAACTCATGAAAGGGGAAAAGGATCGTTTAGCCGTTGGCGAAAAATGAAGCCTCGCGCGTGATCGAGCGTGAACCATTTCGTTAGTGTTGGTGACGCTTTTGACGAAGGCGCCCATGTTATGCATGGGGAATTCACTGACCGAGAAAGTTATATTTTTTCATTTCCTAGGAGGTGCGTGGCTGTGTGATAGAACGCCTGCTTGTCGTACAAAAGACTTGGTTTAGATCCTGATTCGGACCCGTATTTTCATTATTTATTTTATTTTCAACTTTCTTGATTCCTGGTTTTGGCACTGGAGGATGGTTTTCCGCTCGCAACCAACGAAGCTTATGCTGACGCAGGAATTCATATGTAGTGAACTCTTTAATCTTACCTCTTTAAAAAGATGGCGACAAGAAGCTGTTATAGAAGACAAAGCTAACACTAATAAGAACTGCAGTATGAAGATTTGTCCTGGAATATTCAAGGAAATTTGCTATTGGTTAAACATGAAATTTCGAAGCTAATACTTGAATGACGATCTACAAATAGCATAATTTATGCTATATGGCAAAGAATTACAGTTATCATAACACAAGGTAGCCTTTTAGAAAACTAGCTTTTTGGGACAATGGGAAGAAAATGTTATTCGACGAACAACTGTTAATCGGCTAATTATTGAGGTTTTTGATAATGACGAATTTCAGAAAGCTATGGTGCTTAACTACCCGATAATCAGTTGTGCACACATTACACTCGTCAGCTCTTCAATAGTTTGTATTTCTAATTCACGGTACAGACCCACCGCGCTGGTCTAGTGGCTAGGGCACTCTGCTGCTGACCTTCAGCGCGCAGTGGCCGCATTTTCGATGGAGGCGAGAATGCTTGAAGCCTGCGTGTTCAGACTTAGGTGCGTGTTAACGAACCCCAGGTGGTTAAAATCACTTGAGATTGGCACGTGGTCGGGCTTATGACGTAGACAACAACCGGCATGTCAATGAAGAAATTTTTTATTTGGCCAAAGAGTAAGGCGGAAAAACTGTGCGTAGGAGTAAAGCAATACACAGTGTCACTCATAGTGGGGAACGTCGGCCATCGATCAACCTACAAGCGGTGACGTGCGCTGGTACCTATACGTATGCTGTAGAATCGCTAGCGTTATCGCTAGACGCCACGTAAGAGCGACACGAATCTCTCACAGACATCTGACTCTGCCCAGGCGGCGCTGAAGAAACTGCTGCCAGCAGCGCCCTCTTCGCCGCGCTAACCATATGTGGGCAATGCAAAGAGAGCCATCCACTAGCTAACGTGCACAGCCCCTCCTCTTTCGTTGGTGTTGACGTGCTGTTTCCTGGAAATCCAGGACTTGGCAAGTTCATTGGTAGATCCCACCTCGCTTCAGAAAAGTAGAAAACTCATCAATGCGAAATGCAGGTAAAATGCAAAATATGTTTCAGTTGTTTCAGCATGCTGGAACGTGCAATTTAAGTCCAAGCGAGCATCGCATGACGTGGAGTTCAAGGCAAGCACTTCGACATGAGTGCTTGAAAGCCTGATTTCGTAAATTGGGGCATACACAGGTTACCAAAGAACTCATGTGCATACGCGAGTAACGTATTTTACGATCAGTCGTACAAAGCTAGCTTTATTCGGCACGAATGACTCCGACAAATTTCGCCTTTACAGTGGCCTTCTTCGTCCATATCTCGCTTTCGGGGCATGTAACTGATTTATTACGCATCCGAGAGAATGTTTCGTCGACAATTATCTTCCGTTTTTACATACTGCAAATGGGAATATACACGCGCATGCGTTTTCTCGGTGTACAATGAAAGGCAAAACAGAGAAACTCAGGAAATGGCAAAGACCATCGGCCAGAAAAAAACGTCTTTGAGGTCATGAGTAACATTTCGCATTTGCTAATTAGAGCCGGAACATAAAATCTTCAGAGCCTTTGCGCGCGATAGCGTTTGTCGGCAGCTGCCTCGATTATTGGTGGTTGCGGCGTGGGCGATATGTTTATCGCGTGCGTTAGCAGTGTACACTTGCACGGGGCGCACAGTGGTCAGAGGCTTTGTTGAGCTACATAATCAAAGTTACCACGATTCTCCGTCAAGGCTACTGAAAACAAGAGAAGACCTGCATTATCACACCATAACATCATTAAAAAAATAGCAGGATACCTACATAATAACAATTCCCTTACTCAACACGTTCACAGCGGCCCGTATCCAGCGCAATCACCATCCTGATTCGCGACAGCTACGGAAATCGGTAAAAAGGAAGTCATTTACGTCCGTGGTCATTCACAACGCAACTATCGTCGAATGAAGTCTTTCTTTATAGAGCGCGGAGATGTTGTGTCTGCCCTTATTCCGCCGTCAATCTGGCGAGTGAATCAGTAAGCACGTCATGGTGGCTCGGTGACGTGTCCTACTAGCGGAGAGAAATTTGTAGGTCTTCTTGTGAGTTTTCAATGCGCAAACACACCTAATATTTAGCTCAATTATGTTTTGGCCCTCACTAATTGCACCTGACTGCACAGCAAACTGTGCAAGAGAATCGGGCTTGCACTACCCAAAACTGCGCCGACGGGTGGTGCTACGTGTCTGCAAAACTCCAGTATGACTTCGACGTTCGCATTGTGCGCGTAATTACATTGAAACGTTGCATGATTACCTTGAAGAATCTCTCTCAACCGTTGTAGTTGAGCAAGAGGGTGCTAACACGTGTATTGGGTCGATAACAGAAGATCACAAAGAAGCGTAGTATTGCCCCCTCTAAAAAGTCTTCATCTTCATCCTTTAACGCAACGTCAAAGTAAAATGAATAGAAGCAATAAATTAGAATGATAAAAAAACAGACCCCACGTATAGTGGCAATCGATGATATGCGAAGCATGAATAAGAAATGTTGATATGTCACTTTATAATCTGCACAACGTTGCGAGGTTGAGCTAAATGATGCCTACATGAGTTCCGTATCTTGATTATCAAGTTTGGAGGTGTTGTTTACCTTGGTTATCTATTCACATCACGTGGTACCTATTTATGTATATTTGCAGCAAGTGAACGGCCGCGAGCACGCTATGAGCGCGGTATGTTTTTATGTTCTCATATGACACGCGTGTCAGGAGTATCATGTTTGCACCAGTCATAAATTTCGTCATTCATCGACGTCACGTAACACCAAATTTGGTATATTTGGAGCTAGCGAAATGGCCGCAAGTGCATCATGAAAGAACCAATATACTTCATTGTAGCGTTGACACGCGTGCACGCTTGGCACAGCGGGGCCACGTTAGCAAAACGCGAGTACTCTATACTCTGACGCCATACGCGACCAGCGTCCGTCAGCCTAGCCCGATGACAAGCGGCGTGAAATGCGAATTGCTGTTTTTTGCGCCAATGCGTTACCCACTAAACATTGCGTCTCACTCTTTTCGTGACGCAGGGACGCCCGGCGCGCTGAAATGTGCATCCGTCAAAGCAACGCAGAGCGGCGCGCACCTGCGAGTATATGGCAGGACCGACACCTGGCGTGGCAACGCCGGCGTCACGCGACGAAATGAACGCCGGCGAGTACGCGCACCGCATCACGACGGAATGTACTGGTGCCTTGACTGTGGCATGTAGTCATGTTCCCACAGGACACGCATCTCATAATTAATATGTTTGCACCAGTCACATACCTCTGTCATTCATTGACACCACATAATACCAAATTTGGCATATGTGAAGCTTACAAAACGGCCGCGAATCAATTTATGAGTGTGGTATGTAGTCATGGTGGTAAATGACGCACATGTCGTGATTGTCATGTTCGGATGTGTCACTTATTCATTCCGTGCATGCATGTACAGTAATACCAAATTTTGTACAAGTGACGATAACGAAATGAGCGTTGCATGTAGTGAACAAATGGGCGTTGCACGCGATAACAAATGAGTGTTGCATGTAGTCATGTTACATGACATGCATGTCATGATAATCATGTTTGCAAAAGTAACTTACCTTCGCCATCCATTCACGCACTGCATTACCAATTTTCGTATATGTGAAGCTAGCGAAACAGCCGCGAGCGCATCATGAGCGTGGCTTGTAGTCGTGTTACATGAATCGCATGTCTTGATTTTCATGTTAGGGTCTGCGCTTGTGTTCGCCATGCAATCATGCCATACTACACCAGTTGTGCAACAGGTCATGGGAACGAAACTGCCGCAAGAGTTGCAGGACCATGACATGTAAGTCATGACATAAATGACATACATGTTATGATTTTCATGTTATGACTAGGCAAGTATGTTCTTCGTAGAGTCATGTTATGCCATACCAAGTTTGTAATCGCTACCACTATCGAAATGACTAGGAGAGCTTGAAGTCGTAGGTGGCTAGATAGATAGATAGATAGATAAATAGATAGATAGATAGATAGATAGATAAATAGATAGATAGATAGATAGATAGATAGATAGATAGATAGATACATAGATAGATAGATAGATAGATAGATAGATAGATAGATAGATAGATAGATAGATAGATAGATAGATAGATAGATAGATAGATAGATAGATAGATAGATAGATAGATAGATAGATAGATAGGCTCAAAGTCACCGAAGTTCGCTAAGCAATGCTTCGCACTTAAATTTGTATCCTCCAAGTGTTCTCTAACGCACGTGAAATGGCTTGAGGCGCACGACATTGATGACTTCAGGCCGTTCCTTATGACGATCAGAGTTCGTGGTGCCTTCCACCACAACCACTTGCCTAGACGCCGAAGCACGTTTTACGACCTGAAGTGTTGCTAAAAAAGTTTCAATGTGATGTCACTTGTATCAAAACTCTCTGCTGGATTTCGCCACTGGCGTCGACTTCGGCGAAGCCGTCATAAAGATATATTCATACGTATTCTTGCAAATGAGAACTCAAGAAAGCAAAAAAAACATACCTGAAAAAAGACTCCGATGCGTGGAAGCGAACGTTAGACCTCTAAATTTCGACTGCGAGGCGTTAGCCACTGAGACACGACGAGCAACTCCTTCAGCGTTTATACGGCAAGCTATTCATTTCTACCACTTGTCACTAGGAATGGGCTTCTAGAGGGGGGGGGAGCAATCGTGTTTTCAGCATTACGAGGAATATAGCACAATGAGCGCACGTCGCCAAATTGTCACGACGTGGTGGCTCGCGCTCTCTTCTCCCACGCGTAGTTTGCCGCGTATAGAGGGAGGAGGGTGGATGATCATGTGTGCGCTCACTTATCTCGTGGTGGGGACAATCGGACGCCTTGGGCTTTCATGAATGATTCTGTTGTAGTTACAGGGTGTTCAAAGGTGTTGCACAATTACCGTTTGCGAAAACGGTACGGTTTTCAGACACAGCAAAGTAACAAATCAAACGCTTATTGGCGTTCATCTGTACTTGTGAATGTATACGTTTTGTGCGGTATTTCTGAATGCGAAACGCGAGGCACGTTTTGATCTGCTTGCTACTCTTCACTTTTCCTTTCAATTGGCTGCCATTGCGTTCATTGCTTCGTGTTTGTGGCAAAGCTGTGACTTTTTTAACGAAGTCAATGTCGGCGTATCAGTGTCTGTATTCACATTTGTTCACCAGGCTAGTATGCCACGAACATTCATGGAAGATTGCGACGGCAGCTTTCGGTCGTCTGCTAAATCTTTCATGGTGTGCAGATGAGGTAGTGGACGGGTCTCTTCAAAGCACTCAAGGTTACGCCGATATTTTTTTCGTGAGCGACGCTTGGCAGCATGGCGTCAAGCGTCGTGAAAGGGTTCCTTTCGTAGACTAACCTGCATGGCGACATCTGCGAAGTCCTATGTGCTGCTGTTTTATGCAAAAGCCACACACGGAAGGAAGGCGTCCAACGTCTCCTGTTGGACGTCAATGTACGTGGCCAAGATGCCAGCTACGTATTGTGTACCCGTTTGGTGGGGCCACTAGTCTGTGAGTGGTACGTCGTCGTCAGATGGCGGTTTGTTTGGATGTATGCGAAGATCGCCTGAGTTTGGTCAGCAGTATATGTCATTGCTCTGTGTATGATCAGACCTCCGGTGTGCCGTGACGCTAGACAATGTTCTCAAGAAAGAAATTGACTTCATCTTTCCCCTTCCTTTGAGCAGTGCCTTTGTTTTGGCGTCGGTGATTAATTTGTTTCCGACACTCAAGGTCGAAAATGGCGCCAATAGGTCAGTGTCGCTTCGCTAGAATGGGTGGCGTAGTGCCTCAATGGGCAGTGTATTCCAGGTGGCCTATTCAGTGGTGTCTTGGCAGCATGGCGTCGAACCTCTTGACCAGGTTCCTTCCGTAGAATCAGTAGACCCGTAGATTCCATCGCTGACAATTTCAGCAAGTCTTCACAAAACGAGCAATGTCGGCTGCAATGCGGGGCCTATAGTCAATTTTCTGGTTCACTTCCTCCGTTTTGTATCGACATTCTTCATGTACAAGTAGCTGAATACCTTCCTAGCTCAACGCTCCTTTCTCCATTTCTCGCAATCAGCTCTCAAATTTTATCTTTCTGCTAGCTTCCTTGCCCTGAAATGATGTTTATCCTATATCACCTTGTACTCCCTGATTTGGTGCATTCCCGTGAGCACCTAAGGCAAGCGTACCTATTCCAGATTGCTTAATTTCCAATTTTGCTTGAACTACAGATCTCTTGGACAAGCCCGCATTGCCGAACGTCAGCCCAGGAACCATGACCCCTTTCCATATTCATCTCACAACATCATACCTATTGTAATTCCACAGTGCCCTATTTTTCATGACTGCTGCATTCCTGTTACCTTTAGTCGTCACGTATATTTCGTGTTCCCTCAGATACTCGGTCCCATTGCTTATCCATACGCCCAGATATTTGTATTTGTCTGTTATATCTAGCGTGACCTCCTGTATTCTAAGCTCACTACCTTCGTTGTCATTGAAAATCATGACTGCTGATTTTTCCTTACTGAATCTAAAATCTAACCTATCTCCCTCATTACCGCAGATGTCCATCAATCTCTGCAAATCTTCCTTGTTGTTGGCCTTTAGCACTATATCATCTGCGTACATTAATGCTGGTAGTGCCTGATCAATAAGTTTTCCTTGTTTGACTAAAGAGAGGTTGAAGCCCAGTCCACTTCCCTCTAATTTTGCCTCTAATCCTTGTAGGTACATCATGAATAATAAGGGTGACAGGGGGCACCCCTGCCTGAGCCCCCGTTTTACCTCTGCAAACTTGGATACCTGTTTTTCCCACTTTATAACTGCTTTGTTACTTTTATAGATACCCTTTAAAAGATTAGTGACTACATGTTCCACGCCTAGTGTGTCCAGTATTCCCCACAATTCCTCTTGAACCACGCTATCGTACGCTCCCTTGATATCCAAAAATGCTAGCCACAGGGGCCTGTGTTCCTTTTCTGCTATTTCGATGCACTGCGTCAGTGAGAACAGATTGTCTTCCAACCTCCTGTGTTTCCGAAACACGTTAAACACGTTAAACACGCTAGACACGTTAAACACGAGCGCCATCTGGCAGTACTCTTTGAAAACGAAGGCATGCGCGACCGCGAAAAAAGATGCGCTCCAGTCACGAAGGTGATAAGATGTAGAATGGAAAGCGACGGGCAGGTGCCACCACCGTGTCGTCGTAGCAAGCGTTGGAAACGCCCTCTTGAGCATCACGTTGCACTGTCAGTGCAGCGCGTTAAACGCTACAGTCCTTAGAGTGTTTTGTGTGTGTCATCTTCTAGTATAAAGGCAAACATACAAAACATAGACATGTTGTTATGGCCCCTCAGATATGCGCATTATTTGCTTTTTTATTGACAATTGGCCAACAATGAACGCTAAACCTCGAGCAATATTGGTGGGCGCTGCGTATGGGGTTGGTCGTTTGGTACCGTTTGAGGTATCGTTATGGCGGAGAGAAATATGTATGTACAGACAAACATAAATGCAGGCATACAGACCAAACTTTTTCCGTCGAAAGATCCCCAAGAAAGGCTATCGTCTTTAAAAGTGTCCGAGTTTTGGTGGCCTAGATGGTGAATGACACGAAAGGCGGAAGCATACTATACCTAGACAAGAATCTACTGGTTTAACATATCAATCTCAGCTAGTGCTTGTGCACGAAAAGCACTTCACTGAAAGTGAGAACTTTGCGTAAACCAGTGGGTTATCGAAGGAGTTGTGAAGAGGCTGCACGATGTTTAGAAACTTATGCCGGACGCCTCTTGAACAATTTCGCATGGTCCTCTGCGTACTTGTGCAGTGCGAAAACGACCACAGCTCACCCACCTACCAAGCGTCAGCAGGAACCCCCCGTTTGGTGGGAGACTGTTGAGGCTGCACTAACCCTGCGCGTGAGAGAACTGCGCGTGGGAATCTTTGACACATCTGTTGGGCAAAAAAATGAAGCTGATGAAAGTGAGGATGCTTGCGGCTTTTTTCTCGTTGCATGCCAGTAGTAGCATAGAACAACGAGTGAAATGTTCGCCATCTTTGGAATTTATATATGCTTGACCACGAATCAATGCAGAAGTTAGAATGACTGGAAGGAATGCGTA